GAAGAAAAAATTCAAATAATAAGGTATAATAACAAAAGCCAATTGTTGAATCAGAAGAACGAATTAGTTTTCAAATTCAGACAGAAAAACAAATTCAAACTTCCATAATATTATTCAGATACCTTAAATCACTCCCAATGCCCATCTCCTCTAACTCACTCTTTCTTTTTTACGTTATATTTATTATAATTTATAAAATTTTCCTTTATTGAGAATATTCCTCGCCTTCTCTTTCCATTAATCCTTTCACGTCTTTATTAGCTTATATACCTATTATTTTTATTTGTTCCTATCTCTAATACCACCAAATTGTCTTCGTAGGATTAATATTCTCTGGCATCATTTAATACACCTTTTCCCCTTTAAGATAGATATTGACCACCTTCTCTGGTCCCAGTTCGGTACCATCGCCTGACTTATACATAAAAAAGTGTGACTTCTGTTTTAGGTATTGTTGGCATGTTAAATTTTCGGTTGGTCCCTTCCCATATTTCTTACTTTCAGTTAATTTTTACTTCTTGCTTCCTCTAGCTCTACTGACATGAATTCCATTCCATGTCGGAGTTGAAAAGACAGACGGCCTTTTTGTATCGTCTGCCGAATTAAACTGTTCCCCACATGAGGTAAAAATAATTTTTTGGATTATTCATCATATTGCCCTGTACTAATAAAATATATCTAACTCTCTTTCTGTAGATCAATTTTACTATTTTTGCATTACTAGGACCGACTTGGATTATACACTCACGAAATTTATTATACCTTCACTATATATATATATATATATATATATATATATATATATATATATATATATAAGAAATATAGTCATAAAGAGCTCAATATCAGAGATAGAACCTGTGTAACTATAAAAGTGAACATTGAAATCAATACCTAGAGGCGACAGGCTGTTTCATGCTAGAAGCAATTGTCAAGCAACGAGTGTTCTAACGATTGCGTCTAGCATGAAACAGCCTGTCGCCCTAAGTGTTGACTTCAATGTTCACTTTTATATATATATATATATATATATATATATATATATATATAACGATCAGTCAATACTCAGCACCTGAAGATTGCGTTGTGCATGAAACTCCGAATTGTGCTATTGGTAAGGGATAATATTATATATTTATTAATATTAATATATACTTAATAGCTCTGTTGTATTACATCGAGCACTGTTTTATTATCACCAGCACTATATGTCCAATGTATTATAATTATTTTTTCAAGCATAACACTCTAGGCAAGGCGGGCGTGCTAGTAGAACGGACGGGGTTACAGAGAGTGAGGGAAAGAGTAAGGACGAATGGTTGATTTTAACGATGGTCTCAGGCGAGAAAAGACTTTCTGGGGTGACACAGAGTACCAAATTTCTTTGCGGTAGATGAAGCAATTGATTTAATATATTTGTTCCATCTCAGGTCAGTGGACAGCTTGAGCCCAAGCAAGAGCAGAGAGGCTCTCCTCGTGGAGTTGGGCGTCAGCCATTCTGATGGGAGGCAGAGAGGGTTCTCTATGGGTGGTTGATTTGAGCAGTTCCGTTTTGGAGGCATTAAAGTTTACAAGCACAGATTGGAGGTCCTTTTCGTGACCAACGGCCAGGTTAGTTTTGTCAGCGATAACAGATTTGCTATTGAGGCAGGAGGAAATAGTACTGTCATCTGTGTAGATGGCTACTTGGGAGCTGATGACCACAGGAAGATCGTTGATGAAGATCAGAAACAGTGTAGGAACCAGCATATAGCCTTAGTGAACATAGCGTTCGTATGAAATAAACTAGAAGAGAACCCGTTTATGGCGACATTCATTACACGGTTTGATAGGAATGATTGTATTAAGTCAAATAATCGTCCTGTAATTCCATATCCCTGAAGCTTACGAAGAATGCCGGCATGTCAAACGCTATGAAATGCTTTAGAGATAACTAGATCCACGGGTCGAGGTACAGCGTTATTGTGAAGTGCTTGGTATACAAATTCAGTTATGGCCGTGAGCACGTCATCGGTAGAGCGGGCAAAGCGGAAACCATATTGCTTGTCAATAAACTAGAAGAGAACCCGTTTATGGCGACATTCATTACACGGTTTGATAGGAATGATTGTATTAAGTCAAATAATCGTCCTGTAATTCCATATCCCTGAAGCTCACGAAGAATGCCGGCATGTCAAACGCTATGAAATGCTTTAGAGATAACTAGATCCACGGGTCGAGGTACAGCGTTATTGTGAAGTGCTTGGTATACAAATTCAGTTATGGCCGTGAGCACGTCATCGGTAGAGCGGGCAAAGCGGAAACCATATTGCTTGTCAGATAGCAGATCATGGGATGTAAAGTGCTTAATCACTTTGGCGTTGACTAAAGCTTCAAATATTTGCGGAAGAGTGGAAGGAGACTGATAGGACGGTAGTTAGATGGGTCAGAATGGTCTCCAGAGTTCTTAAAGACAAGGAACAACAGATGAAGACTTCCAAAAGGCTGGAAAGTAAGTCATTGAGGCAATAGTTATATCGTTTGAAGAGGACTGGAGCCAGTTTAGGATCACTTTTCTTCAGGACAACGGCTGGTATCCGACACTAGCCTTAGAGGAGACTAATTTTAGACGATTTGCAATACCATCGATGGAGTTATTTTCATCTCACTCAATAGAGTTTCACTTCTGGGGGAAAATAAGGTGTACTTATTCCGGATGAGTCCAGAATTGAATTTGATGAGAATTTCCGAGCAAAGCATTTAGCCTTATCAGCTGAGGAAGTCAGGAACTCAAATTGATTGAATAGAGGAATACATTTTCTACATACAACGTGCTAAAGCACATACGATACCCTGACCTCGTCAGCCACCAACCAGGGGAGATAACACGGTTTTGGTGACCAAGAACACTGGCGCAAAAGGGCAACTTTTGCCATTGGATAGGGTATTGATTTTTTGTGCAGACCTTTCAGTCTCTTGTGATATCTTTTGCGACTGCAAGTTAAATTTTCAAGTATATTTTTCAATATATATATATATATATATATATATATATATATAATAAGAATATCCAACAACTGTAAGGAAGAGGATATGTTGGAGATATTTCATATATATATATATATATATATATATATATTTATCCTTCATATTACAATTGTAGGAAAGAGGTTCAAATAAAGCAGTTTTTTTTTCGCGAACTATGACATTGCATTACAAACTGCCGCGTCGATGATTCCCGAAAACTGTATTTGAAATTTGATTTGAAATGTTAACTTTTTAATTTCTTTTCTTATGTTTTACCCTGTAAATAAAGACACCCATATATACTTGATAGCAAGGTACTTCGCATATTAAATTGAACATTACTCCAAAAGCGATGTTCATAATAAGGGCATCGAAAAACATGCCGTTAAATTTTCTTACGGCCCAAATCCTATACAGCAAAGTTTTCTACGCCGAACATTGCTGAGGCGAGTTTTTCTACGGTAAAAATGTTTACGGCGAATGTTCCTATAACCGACCCAGTAAAAGACTCAAAAGTCATTCGTGGTAGAGTGCTAACAATTGAGATGTGCAACAACAACGTAATGTGCGATAAAAAGAAACGGAGATTATGAGGGTGGGCTGAAAAGTTCATAGGCTGACTATGAAGGAGTGACGCTAAAACTGAGAAATCTTTCATTCATTAATCACAACTCATCTTAATAATAACTGCGTTGTTTCTGTTCAGGTACGACGGTAGGATGAAAAGTTCATAGGCTGACATTGAAGGTGTGACGCTACAGCTGAGAAATATTTCATTCATTATCTCAACTCTTCTTATTAATAATTGGATTGTTTCTTTCTAGATACGAGGGTGGGCTGAAATGTTCATAGGTTGACGATGAAGCAGTGACGCTAGAGCTGTGAAATCTTTCATTCATTAATCCCAACTCTTATTAATAATTGCATTGTTTCTATTCGGGTACAAGGGTGGGCTCTAAAGTTCATAGGCACAGATCACAATAAAGGTATCGAAAAAAAATGCACCGAAATTTTCTTACGGCAAAATATCCTATACGGCGAATTTTCCTATGGCGAAAATTCCTGACGCGAATTTTCCTACGGCAAAATTTGAACTCATATCAATGCCAGCGTAGAACCTGCGTAATGCATTTATGAAATGGTTTTCATCATGAATGAATAGAGGAAAAATTGTCAATAAAAGAAATGAATCGGTAATTGTTTTGTTTTCCTCTTTATTATGTCCGTGGTCCGACAGATGGCCGATGGTCATTTCACCGACAGACATTTTGCCGACGGATATTTAAGTTAATGTGGTCCTGGGTAAGACGATAAACTACATCCTACAGCAAGGCCACTGATCAGGAAATATTTAGGAGCGTGGAAACACCTTTTAATTGCTGCTGCTCCCAGGTCCACCCTGACCCGAGGTGGTAGCACCTGTTAGGGTCCCAGCTATGGGCAAATAGTTAGCCCCTAAACTGGGGTCAAAACATTATAAAAGTGTAAAAATAAGTTTTAATACCAGCAATACGTTTTTGTAAAAATATTACCAACAATGATTTTTTTCTGAGGAAAAACTTTACCAGCAATGATTTTTTAAGGAAAAACTTTACCAGTAATGGATTTATGAAAGAAAATACATTACCAGCAATACATTTTTGAAGAAAAAATATTACCAGCAATACATTTTTGAAAAGATATTACCAGCAATACATTTTTGAAAAAATATTACCAGCAATATATTTTTGAAAACATATTACCAGCAATACATTTTTGAAAAAAATATTACAAGCAATATATTTTTGAAGAAAAAAATATCAACAGAAATACATCTTCGGAAGAAAGCATTATCAACAATACAGTTTTGAAAAAAAAAATATTACTAGTAATAAACTTATTACCAGCAATACAATTTTGAAGGAAAAATATTACCAGAAACAGATTTTTGACAAAACAAAATAATACCAGAAATAAAATATGCTGTCGGCATTAAATAACCCATTAAGTTTGATATGCCTTCAGGTTTTCAGTTTTTCTTTCAACAATCTTTCAGCCCTTCTTTCAGTTTTTCCTTCAGGTTTTCAGTTTTTCTTTCAACAATCTTTCAGCCCTTCTTTCAGTTTTTCCTTCAGGTTTTCAGTTTTTCTTTCAACAATCTTTCAGCCCTTCTTTCAGTTTTTCCTTCAGGTTTTGAGTTTTTCTTTCAACAATCTTTTTCCTTCTTTCAGTTTTTCCTTCAGGTTTTCAGTTTTTCTTTCAACAATCTTTCAGCCCTTCTTTCAGTTTTTCCTTCAGGTTTTCAGTTTTTCTTTCAACAATCTTTCAGCCCTTCTTTCAGTTTTTCCTTCAGGTTTTCAGTTTTTCTTTAAACAATCTTTCAGCCCTTCTTTCAGTTTTTCCTTCAGGTTTTCAGTTTTTCTTTCAACAATCTTTCAGCCCTTCTTTCAGTTTTTCCTTCAGGTTTTCAGTTTTTCTTTCAACAATCTTTCAGCGCTTCTTTCAGTCTTTCCTTCAGTTTTTCAGTTTTTCTTTCAACAATCTTTCAGCGTTTCTTTCAGTCTTTCCTTCAGGTTTTCAGTTTTTCTTCATTCTTGCAGTGTTTCTGGCTTTTTTCATCTTTTTTGTTTTCCATTCGATTCTTTTTAATCTTCTTTTCTTTCGATTTATTTTTCTTTTTTTCTTTTTCTTTCTTTCTATGTTTCTTTCGATTTCTTCATCTTTCTCTATTCATGCGTCCTGGGTAAGACGTTAAACTACGTCCAGCAGCAAGGCCTCTGATCAGGAGGTTTTGAGGAGCGTGGAACCACCTCTTAATTGCTGGTGTTTCCAGATCCCACCTGATCCGGGGGTGGTAGCACCTGTTAGGGTCCCAGCTATGGGCAAATATCTAAATATTACCAGCAATACTTTTTTGAAAAAATTATTACCAGCAATACAATTTTGAACGAAATATTACCAGAAACAGATTTTTGACAAAACGAAATATTACCAGCAATAGAAATTTTCGTCAGCATTAAATAACGCATTGAGGTTGATATGCCGTAAAACAAAATAAACCAAACCAATCTAAATCAAAGAATACATATTCTATTCATACGAATCTATCTGAAAAATGTTGTCGGCATTAAATAACCCATTGAGGTTAATATGCCGTAAAACAAAATAAACCAAACCAATCTAAACCAAAGAATACATATTCTATTCATACGAATCTATCCTAAAAATGTCGGCATTAGAAAACCCTTTGATGTTGATATACCGTAAAACAAAATAAGTCAAACCAAAGCAAACCAAACCAAAAAGTCAATGATACATATTGGCGATGTGGAAGCAAAGGCAGTTGTAGAGAGCCGCCAAAAACAGAAAACGAAGTTATTCAAGGAGAAGCAAGTAATCATTCGGTTAAAATATCCATCCGTAAAATGTCCGTCGGTGAAATGCATATTTTAAAAGAATTGTGTTGAGCATGAAAAACTCCAGAGAAATTTCTTTAAGGGTTTTGGTATTGATCTTCTTGAGAAATTTGGCACAGAATTTGATTTAATGAAAGTGGTCGCGTCTGGCTAAGTAAAGCAGGCCGCATAAGTTATTAAAGGCGCCACACACAATGAGAAATCAGTCACCCTACGTTCTGCGGCATTTCTATTTGCAGTGGGCGCGAAAAGATTGTGCCTGGTTTAGTTTATTTCTCCCAAATATTAATACATAAACTACTACAAGAAGCGCACATAGTTGCCGCATCTCGTGAATGTAACTCCGTATCAGAACTAAAAGACCACATCCACTGTACCTATATCTAAGGTTATATATATATATATATATATATATATATATATATATGTATGTATGTATGTATGTATGTATGTATGTATTACAATGAATCATTCATACAAAAAGTAGATATGTAAAGTTAATGGTATAAAATGGCGAAAACTCTTCGTAGACGAGGCATTCGATGAATATTATGATTGTTTTTAATAACTACAAGCTGAATAAGTTTTTTTTTAATCTGCAAGTACTTTCAACTGTACACACGGGTCATCTTCAGGCATGGAAATTATTTTTTTTTAGTAAGTCCAGGTAGTATCAGAGACAAAAGATTAAATGCGAATCGAAATAGGATACTACCTGGACATATATATATATATATATATATATATATATATATATATATATATATATATATATATACGGGGAACCCGAAATCCCCATCTGATGAGTTGTCTAAAAAAAGGTTTTCCTTTTTTGACGTTGAAACAAAATGTACAATTTTGTAGTAGATATGTGCATGTTCTAATGTAATACTACATAAGATAAATAAATATTTACGGCACTACTTTATGTATTGAGCACTATTTTTAAATTAATGTTTTGAACGCTGTAATCCTACTGTTCGTTCTCCCTACATTTTGATATATATATATATATATATATATATATATATATATATATATATATATATATATGTATCACTTGATGGTATTACAAGTGAAAAAAGTTTCAAAATTATTTGGTAAACACATTCTTACCTTACATTTATTATCTTTTTTCTAGGTACATGTTGCCTTGTTTGATAAGAAGTTAGAAATTGTCTAAGTCTCTTAATATATATCGATATCTACTGAAGTTAATGCCCCACATTTTAAGCAGAAAGCCTTTGTAGCCGAGAAAATCTACAAGATTTCAAAGACAAGCTCTTTGACCTCTTTCCTACTACATGCCAGTTCTTCATATACTAAAGTTGGTGAATAAAAAATTCCCTAAACCCCCAGCATTTTATATATATATATATATAATTCAGTATTATTTTCATTTTTGCGTTTTCGTCTTTTCACATTATTCGTGTTAAGAAAAAAAGAAAAGTGCATTTCCATAGAGAGAATTAGAGAAAGAAAGTGTGTTTTTTCGGTTCAATAATTGGTGATTATTAGCTTTTACAATACAACGATAAAGCACAAATATTCTTTGAAAAAAAAAAAACTGCTGCCGATCAAGATCCACTAACTGAAAAAAAAAACTCCATTCACAGTACAAGTAAAACCAGATTTCCCACTTAAGGAAAGAAAGACAAAAATGACTGAAAGAGAAATCACCTCCACAACACATAAGTACGCCATGTTTGCACGCTTGTAGATTCAATCTAATACTACGACCGATATTGAAATCATTTTTATTATTTATTTGGTTTAACTTTTTTTATTTTATTTATTTATTTTTTGGGTGAGGGTGATTTTTTTTTATACTGTGCATCGATATGATCCAGGATCGATATTTCCCCACAATTAGTTATTTGAATTCATCGAGGTAAGCCAGGCGAGTAAAAAGCGTGTAAGTTGTGGATAGAAAGGTAAAAATAATAAATAATACAAAATTGGAAGAGAGAGAGAAAGAGAGAGTGAGAAAGACGAACGGAGAAAGAGAGATATAAAGGCTGTCAGGGTTTAATATTCTGGTTTTAATAGATAAGGTTTCTTATTGATTTCGACAGTTTTGATTTAAAATTTCTAATCATAAATTTGTTGTGAAATTCTACAATTGATATATGAACGTCTATCAACAAGACCACTGCTTCATGACGAAAAGTATTCATTGCACACAATTACATTCTAACCTAATAGTATTTCCCATTGCCCGAAATCCAACATTTCCACTTAAATCTAATATTATTTTATTTTAATATGCTGTGTCCTGTCAGAGGTTTGGCGATCATTGTTCTCCACAGCTTTCTATCTTTTGAGGCTATTTGCAAAGTTTGTCCATCACTCCTGAAAATGGAGTCTTATTGTCATATTTGGACGGGAGTTGCTCAGACTTTACTTCCTGGTCTTTTTAGAGTTCGGAAACGTCTCCGAATCTTTCTTGGAGAAGAATTATTTTCAACCCTCTTACAGACGGGATCTTGCGAATCTCGCGTCCTGAGTTAGACGCTAAACTACATCAGACAGTAAGGACTCTGATCAGGAAGTTCTGAGGAACGTGGGACCACCTCCTAATTGTTGGTGTTTCCAAGTTCACTCTGACCCGAGATCAATGATGAACAGATTATCGCCTCCGGGTGTTGACTTCAATGTCTATTTTTATATTTACATTAGCAGCATGGTCCGGCGTTGCCCGTGCTTGATTCAAAAATTGTACGACTCATACAGTAATCGCTATGACTTGACTTAAAATATTTTCGCCCTTCCTTGCCTTTAAAGGAGTGCCCTTTGTCGTGCTGATGTTGCTACATGCCTTACTTCTTGCCTATCTCACACTGCGTATTTTTTCGAAGCTCTATACCAAACATTAAATCTGTTACAAAAAAGAACTAAACAAAATGAACACAAAACGATCAGCTTTAAAAAAGGATTCGTAACTCGAAAAACCGAATGAAAAAAGAATGTTAACAACAAATACTTTTTCACAACCAGCACAGTTCTGCGGAATCAGAATCAACGTGAGTTTAAGCAAGTGAATGAGCCAATTGGGGTAAAGTGCCATGCAGATTTAAATCTTTCCCACTTGTGACGAAGGCAGCTATCGATTTTTTTTTTTGCATACTAGCATACTAGTTAACATTCGTGTCAGTCAGCTGTTGGCTCTCACGCTGGCCAATAGAATCTTCCTGCCTATTAGTGGCAGCCAGCTATTGGCTCTCACTCTGCCCAGTACAAAATGGCCGCAAACTACATGAAAACTGCCACAGAAGCATGAAAATATTGATTATTTCCTCTATCGATGGGAGTTGGGAAATGCAAAGTCGGTCTTGGCCTTCCCGCTAACTTGGAGCATGTGCATGTAAATTTTGGTGCAAATCCGTCGAAAATTGCGGCCGTGCATTCATTACACACACACATCCTGCCTTTTATAGATATAGATGATATCCCTGATATATAGCACTTTAACCCATAAATAGTGCATACCCTAAAAATACATTTTATCATATATATATATATGTGTGTGTGTGTGTGTGATAAAACATCAAAATCACAAAAATATGCATATAACAACAACAACAAAAACAACAACAATAATAATAATAATTGATTCTATGTGTAGCACAAGTACAGGCTCTAAGAACAAATCCCATTATGAACTCTATTAATAGAACAGAATATTTGCTATGGTGCAGGCTGTGTGGAGAAATTACTGAAAGTGTGTAACACATGGTCAGTGGGTGCACTAAGCTAACACAAAAAGAGTACAGCCGACGCCATGACAAAGATAGCCGTCAGAATAAACTGTTAAATATTAAGGAAATATTATCTCTGACATGCAAGACGCCTTGGGCATCCTTGACATCATTAGGAGTGCGCATTTGGTAGCCATACTTGAAACAGCTCATATTCTAAGGAAAGTGTTGTTTCGATGTGCTGCGGCCAGGAGCTGGGATATGACTCAAAGATCCAAAGATAATCTCAATCAGCCTATACCGTATACAATTCGAGAAGTCTGATTTTGAAACATTGACGGTGTGTTTACTTAAAATCGGAGAGTGATAGTTCTGTTTTATGGGACACATAATGAGAAAAGAGTGTTTGGAGAATATGACACTCACAGGACATAGGGAAGGCAAGAAAAGTAGAAGCAAGCATCGGGTAACCTACCTAAAGAGCTTGTGTAAATGTATGGCAGAACAGGAACTAGGAAGGGGTTACAATTGATAGGGAGCTACGTAAGGTCAGGATTACTCACGTCCTGGCGTGACACAGCACATTAAATAGGAATAGTATTTTTGCCGAACGCTTTCTATGGCGCACAGTTG